TGATAAAAGGGTTGGAACACTTTCCCTATGAGGAAAGGTTAAAGCGCTTAGGGCTTTTTAGCTTGGAGAAACGACGACTGAGGGGGTGACATGATTGAGGTTTATAAGATTATGCATGGGAAAGAGCAGGTAGAGAAAGAGGTACTTTTCTCCCTTTCTCACAATGTAAGAACTCGTGGGCACTCAATGAAATTGCTGAGCGGTCGGGTTAGAACGGATAAAAGGAAGTCCTTCTTCACCCAAAGAGTGATTAACACATGGAATTCACTGCCACAGGAAGTGGTGGCGGCTACAAGCATGGACGGCTTCAAAAGGGAATTAGATAATCATATGGAGTAGAGGTCCATCAGTGGCTATTAGCCACAAGGTATAGATAGGGGCTCTGGGGCAAGTGATGCTCTGTCTTCTTGGTGCTTGGGGGGGTGTCAACAGTGGGAGGGCTTCTAATGTCCTGGCCCCACTGGTGGACCTCCTGATGGGACCTGGTATTTCTGGCCACTGTGTGACACAGAGTGTTGGACTGGATGGGCCTTTGGCCTGATCCAACATTGGCGTCTCTTATGTTCTTAAGTACACGGACTCTAATCTGGGAGAACCGGGTTTGATTCCCCACTCCTCCACTTGCACCTGCTGGATGACCTTGGGCAAGCTGTAGTTCTGGCACAGCTGTTCTCGAAAAAGAGCAGTTTCTGTCAGAGTTCTCTCAGCCCCACCTGCCTCACAGGGTGTCTGTTGTGGGGAGGGGAAGGGAAAGGGGCTTGTAAGCAGTGAAACCTCACGCGGAGTCACTCTAGTGAGTCTAGTCTAAACCCATTGACTTCAGTGTGCTCCGGCTGGAGTCACTCCACGCACTGTAAATGTTTGGCTTGCTGGGGATGGGTGTGTGTGTCATGTTCTTTTCATATCTGTGAGTTTCACAGCGTTTAAGGAAGAGGCTTTTTGGCCAAATTACCTTTGAAAGAACAGCCAGCCAGATTCAAGGATGCCAGTTAGCAAACGAGGCCAGAATAATAACCGTACTTCTCTGTTGAATGGATTGTGCCTGAACCCTGGCAAACTCATTTACAGTCTTTTACACAAGGCAATCTGATAACAGCCTTGGGATAGTGGGCGGATCTGAAAGTCTGAGTTCAAGGGAGAGGAAACAAATAAAGGATGGATTGTGCCTTAAGAGGTGCCGCTTCAATTAAGCCGGTCCTCTAAGCCCTTGCTTTGTACCTCTGGGAAGGGCTTGTTTCCCCTGTGATTGCTTCTGACTCTTTGCATGTCTCCCCTCGCCCCCAGGTGGAGGTGTGGCTTGTGGTTCTGTATGCAGAAAGGCCCCAATTCCAATCTCTGGCAGCTCCACCTAAAAGTTATCCGGGAGCCAGGAAAGGTCTCACTTTGCTCCTGAGCTGCTGTCAGTCAGAGCAGGCGGTCCAGAACAAGATGGGCCGAGGGCCTGATTTGGTTTTAAAGGTGAGTTTATCCTCTATGGGAAGGGGAGAAGGCATTCCAGAAGACTGAGATGCTGATGCTGCAGGGAGTCCAGACAGTTCGGTGAATAGGAACAGTTAAGTACCGGTCCAAATGCCCTTCATCATCTAGTCCTCTAGGAAAGTCTGTCTGGGCTGCCACAGCTCCTGTTACTCTCCTGCCCTGCCTGAACTTACTGATGGGGAGTGAGCAGTGATGCCGGAGGCACTGGATGCCAGATATTTTGGAAAGGACACTACCCAAAATGCACCAGGCAAGAATCCCGCTGCTGCCTCTTAACTGCCTCCCACCTTCCGGGGGAGATAAGTTTGGGCAGGAAGGAAGGAAAAGCAGGGGAGGACAGCCGTTGCCTGTTTTATTCTCTAATGAAGAAGAAGAAGAAGAGAAGAGATTGGATTTATACCCCGCCCTTCACTTGGAATCCCAGAGCGGCTTACAAACTCCTTTCCCTCCCCCTCCCCACAACAGACACCCTGTGAGGTGGGTGGGGCTGAGAGAACTCTGACACAAACTGCTCTTTTTCAAGGACAGCTGTGCCAGAGCTTGTGACTGACCCAAGGTCACATCAGCAGGTGCAAGTGGAGGAGTGGGGAATCAAACCCGGTTCTTCCAGATTAGAGTCCGCACACTTAACCCCCCTTGGGGGGTTGCCCACTTGTCCTTACAGTGCTCTCTGCGGCACTGAGAACCAACGTACGATCAGGAGCCAACCTCCTTCCCCACTGTGTTCTCAGATGGATTCTCTGGTCTTTCTCAGCCTTTCCCTGTGCAGGTTTATCTCTCTCCCCCCCAAGCTTTTGACAACTGCATTAAACCAACAGGCAAAACTCATCAGCATCTTCTGAGAAGCTTCATGCTCCGGCTTATACCTATTCTGCTGGGCCTTAAGCCAGCTGTCCTCATAGGTGGCGTGGCTCGTGGGGGAGTCTGGTTCCCAAACAGCTGGGCCAGGGAGACCTCAGCCCCCAGGATGGAAAAACCAGCCGCTCCACCGATGGTCACGGCAGCTACAGACTCTCTAACAACTAGAAGGGTATCGGAAAACAAGCCCCAGTTGCTCAAATGGAAGTCAAACTGGAAACATATTTAGGAGGGGAAACTCTTCAGCAATGCTCCCTCTAAGCTGTGAAGTCTTGTGAGCAAAACTTCTACTTTGTGAGCTACTGGCATTAAAGTTGTGAGTGAGCAATTTGGCAACTGCTTAACTTAAGTTAACTTAAGTTTGCTCTGGAGCCCTCCTTCCTGAGCAAAGGCAAAAATTGTGTGAGCCGGAGGCTAAAAAACTGTGAGCTAGCGCACGCTAACTCAGCCTAGAGGGAACACTGCTCTTCGGTGGGGAAAAACAGTGACCGGGGGGGGGGTGCACCCACTGCCGCCACCCCCACCCCACCATTGCTAAAACGACAGCCACCTGGGCTGGAAGAACCAACAGAACCTGTCGACCCAGGCAGGTTACATATACAGTGTTCCCTCTAAGCTGAGCTAGTGTGAGGTAGCTCACACTTTTTTAGCCTCCAGCTCACGCATTTTTGTCTTCGCTCAGGAAGGATGGGTCCAGAGCAAGCTAATTTATGCAGTAGCCAAATCGCTGGCTCACAGCTTTAATGCCAGTAGCTCACAAAGTAGAATTTTTGCTCACAAGACTCCACAGCTTAGAGGGAATATTGGTTACAGACAGGGGTCATTTCCTGCGGGAGCGCACAGGAGCGGAGCTTCGGCAGTAAAGAGCCCAGGGGGCGGGCACATGCAACAAGCCCCACCCCCTGCTCCCAGCAGCTCCCAGTCGGGCCACGAGGAGCAAGAAGCAGCCAGGTAAGTTGCAGAGCCTCCCCCCCCCAGCCCGCCTTCAGGTACAAGCTCTCCCTCCTCTGTGAGGGCAGATCTGCATGTTCCCCCCTCCAATGGCTAGCAATCCAAAACAGTCCAGTGGAGCCTGAGCAGTGGGTGTCGCCTTCTGACACACTTCTGGTGATGTCAGGAGGTGTGGCATATGCAAATAAATTATGCTAATGAGTTATGCTAATGAGCTCCTGCACCTCTTTTTCTATGAAATGACCCCTGGTTACAGATCAAGTCCAAGGAGCTCAACCGTGGAAGTTCATGGGGCGACCTCAGGCCAGTCACCCTCTCTCGGCCTCACCTGCCTCCTGGGGCTGTTGTGAGGATAAGAGGGAGGAGGGGAGAACGGGGTAAGCCGCTCGGGGTCCCCGCTGGGGAGGAAGGCAGAGTCCAAATGAAGAAAAGGTGCAAATAAACAAACAGCCATCCTGAACTATTCTTTTGACAGGGCAGAACGTTTCCCCGGATTTGCTTCCGTCAAGAGGAATGAAGCGCTGTTCAGGAGAATCGGAAAAGCTGTTGAGCATAGATGAGAAAGCCAAATTAGGCACAGCTGAGCCACTGCAGCACCACTGGTTTTATTTTCTGAAGGCTTTCCTGACTTCCCCAGCATCAGATCAAAAGGGATTCTCAACACTCCTTTGCTGAGGCAGCCGGGGGGGGGGGCACTAAAGTTCTTCCTTTTTTGTGATTTTTGCCTCTTTCTTCACAACATCTTTTTTCTTGGTCTTTGACGACACCTTTGAAAAAGCAGACAATAAAAACAGCGTTATGCAATAGAGCTACTGCATAAAGGCTATGCTCACTTCTGTGCCACGAAATTGCTAGCAAGTTCTATTGTGGATAGATTCAAGCCCTTTTTGAGAAATTAGCTTTCAGTCTGCTTCAAAAAGAGCTGACCAACAAGTATTGCGGGACGCGGGGGTTGGCACCTCCCCCCCCCACAAACAAGTTAACAAAGGGATTTTTTTTTTTTACATTTCCAGACAAAAAGCAAATTTTTTGGACCGTGTTGGGATCTGAATAGTGGGATAACAACAGTGGCCTACCTTACAAGGCTGTTGTGAAGATTAAAAGAAGACTGCATGTGTGAAGCAGCTGGAATCCTGAAAGTGGACTACAGACTAAGCTAACAGGACTGCGTATGTTTCTTTCCCATTTTGATTCACCTCATTTTCCTGCTTAGGCAGGCCACCTGTACACCATTGTTATGCCATTTCATGCCCTGTATGCGCAACTGATGTCAAAGTAAGGTTGGCAGCATTGCTTACAAGGGAGAAACAGAGCTGAAATGGAGCTATTCACTTGGAACCAGCCCGGCTTTGAAATTCGGTCTCATCAGCCAGGCTGGGCCTAGACTCTGTCACCCTACCTCCCATGAAAGGGTATTAATTCATTCATGTTTTGGGGTGGGAGTAAACCCTTCACACAAGTCTCCTTCTGAGGTGGCCCCATTCCCTTACCTTCTTTTCTGTCTTAATTTTTTCTTCTAGGAATTCAGCGAAAGCGTCAAGAGTGTGTTCTCCTTTGTATGGGTCAACCTGGCCAAAAAAAGTATAGAGAGACAAGAGGGAGGCTGAGGTTAACAGAGGGCTGAAGCCTCTGAAACCCTGTGATCTAATCACACGTATGGGAACGTTACCACATTTATAAATTCAAGATTTAAGGAGGATCTGTTCCACTGAGCCAATCAGTACTGCAAAGCTGTCTTAGTGAATAACTGCAGGTTAGACTCCAACTGATGTCGGAGTTTTTCCCACATCGTCTGGTTTGGCCAGATTTCACATGGGTAGGGAAGCGTTTGTCCTTGTCCTTCTCCGTCCTTCCCCCACAGTCTGAAATCATCTGTCTGCCAAAGGATACAAGCGATACGTTTGCCTCTCTCCCCCATATGCCACCGTTGCCTCTGTCCTCCCCCAAGCCCCTATCACAGCGCCTGTGTTCAGAGAGTGCAAACAAAACACTTGCCCCTGTCAAGGGAGGTAGAGCCAACATCAGAGCAAGTAACCAGGGGCCACTTCTGCTCACACAGAATCAGGAAAAACCCACCTAGGCCAGAAAATGGAAATTCTGTACAGTGGAAGGCCTATCAGGAGGCTCGTATTTGGTGGGGACATCTGCTAGCTGTTCTGGTTGGAAGTTAGATTATCTGCTGAGTCACCTTCTCCCCTTACTATTCCTCTCACTGCCATCTTGGTGTAGTGGTTAAGTGTGTGGACTCTAATCTGGGAGAACCAGGTTTGATTCCCCCCTCCTCCACTCGCACCTGGCTGGATGACCTTGGGCAAATCGTAGTTCTAAGAGCTGTTCTTGAAAAAAGAGCAGTTTCTGTCAGAGCTCTCTCAGCCCCACCTACCTCACAGGGTTGTGGGGAGGGGAAGGGAAAGGAGTATGTAAGCTGCTCTGAGACTCCTGCGGGTAGTGAAGGGCAGGGTATAAATACAATCTCTTCTTCTTCTTCTTCTTATACAGGGGTTAACAGTAGACAGCAAGGCACTGGGATACTGGTAGTTTCCAAAGATTTCCAGGTTATTACTAACTGTCGTTATCTGAACGGTTTGATTTGGTCCATATTTAAAGAAAAGAGGAAATTTGATTTGGATTAAGTTCCACATGCACCTGCCTAGCTACTAGAAGGTCTTTGCCTACTGTACCATACGTTACAGCAGTGGCTGCCAGTCTTCCTGATTAGACTGTCTAGAAATTGGGGGAGGGGAGCGTCAAACACAATTGCAAAAAGCATTTGTTCCCAAAAGAATAAAATTGCACAGAATTATGTTAAGTGGCACATTTCGTGCCATCCAAATGCACAGGGGCTGTCGTCTGGTTCATTACAACCCGGGCCTGCAAACCTAGCAACAGAGAGTACCCTCCTTACAAGATTAAATGAGGACAAATGTCACTGGATGTAATTTATGTGCAGGGAAATAAAGGCAAAAATGAAAACCTGAGTAATGTCTTAATTATCAAAAAGTACCATCGAATCAAATTACTTGGCTCCAGAGGTGATGTTCTCACTTCAATTAGATTATCCATCCGGATGGTGGAGCGCGACCATTTGTTTAATGTGGGGTTTTTTTATTATTATTGGTGATCTCCTTTGTTGTAGGAGCGTTTCTGTCTTTTTGAAAAGCACAGCAGAATGGCTGGGGCCGGCAGAGCCCACCCAAAAGGCAGTCAGGACACAAGCGGCAAGCTTTTGCCCGGCATCTGGAGACCTCTGAGTGAGGAACAAGCAGGGCCGGATTCTGATTTTAATGCTCCACGTCAGGCCATTGGTAGGAAGTGGAAATGCTGCGCGCTCATTTGCTCTTGTTCTGAGTTCTCATCTGGTTTGTGGGAAACTTCCAAGTGAAACCCTCTGCTATGTAACGAAACAGCATGGCTGAAGCAGTTGTAGCTCTCTACCAATCCACCCTCTGAATAAATGTGAAGCCGAGGAAGAACGATGATTCACCAACATCAGTTCCTGCCTTCCAACAAGAGGACGGGGGCCCCCTGCATCTTCTCAATGTCTCCTGCCAAGATCAGAAAAAGAAGCGACTCTGGACTCATTAGAAGAGCCTGAGAAAACGACTTTTCCATTTTCTGCTTGTCTATCAGTGCGACACCAGATCAAGTTCTGGAGATAGTGGCAATGGATTCTGGAGAACTGAGCTGAGCCATCTTGGACTTAAGTTTAACAATTGATAGAGCACCACTGTTTTACTGTTGGATGTTTTTACTGTGTATCGTATGTTTTAATTATGGCTCGGGTTTTCCCCCCTTGCCTCGGTGAGCCGCCCTGAGCCCATTGGGGAGGGCGGGGTATAAATGCGAAAAATAAATAAATAAATGCCAAGACTAACAGGAGCGACGATGGCCTCATCAAGGCACACTGCCGGCAACTGTGGTATGGGAATCAAGCATGCACAGTTGGACACGGAAGCATGCTCACCCCTCATGCCAGGTGGAATTGCTCCTAGGCCACGGGAAGCATTCTGTCTTCCTTTTCACGCATTTAAGAGGTATGGAGTGCGACGCCTAACGGCAGATATCCTAGAGTCTGCATGTCTCTGAGATGAAACCGGGGCTGGCTTGTTGAGGAAGCAAGATGGAGGAGATGCCAGAAAAAAAAGTAACGGCACCAGTCACCCTGCAGAGTCAGGAGGGAAAAGCAACGACAAGCGGTTCTTGTCCTGGTGGCCCTCGCTGATCACTCGCCCAGAGCAGCTCAGTCCAGAACTAAGTAGCCCTGACTTAGGCTCCCACTTCCACATGCATTCATCTGGACTTCAAATGATGGACCTGCCTGCTAATTCAGTCCCCTTAACCAAGGGGCCTCTGTTCCTGCGTGTTCTTCTGATCACCCCCATGGGTGAGAAGGGCACAGAGAACCAACACAGCCCTAGCAGAGATGCCCACAGATGCCCAGTGTCCCACGTGCCATGCCCTGAAGAAACCACAGACGTGCCTGGCTGATTAAAAATGCCTCACCTGGGTTGCAGACCCAACAGGGAAGTATCTGAAGAACGGGTAGCGTTCCACGTTGAGTAACTGGACGTTATTTGCTGTGTAGTCTATCTTGGCAATGACGACGTTTTTCCGTTTTTCGTACATCGTGCCCAGCTCATCCCAAATTGGGAGCACTTTCTGGCAGGCCTCAGACCAAGGTGCATCTGGGGATTAAAAAAGGGGGGGGGGGGACTGTCCTCACAGAGAGATGCTTCTGAGCATGCGCAGTGGCACTGGCAACAGGCTGTGGGGCGAGCCTCTCCTGGTGGGCCTCCTTAACAGGGGGGGGGATTATAATGCACATCCCTTCTGTGTTGGCCATGCCCAGCAGGAACTCATTAGCATAATAGGCCACACCCAACAGCAGAAACTCACTAGGATTGGTTACAATTAGGGGTGTGTGGCCTAACATGCAAAGGAGTTCCTGCTACAAAAAAAGGCCCTGGGTTTTGACAACAAACAAGGTCAACAGAATAAGAAGCAAAAGGTGGGTGTGGCTGGATTCTGGTAACATGGGGGCATGGCCTAATAGGCGAATAAGCTGTGCTGTCAGGGGTGTGGCCTAATATGCTAATGAATTCCTGCTAAAAAAAAATTCCTGCTGTTGGGTGTGGCCTATTATGCTAATGAGTTCCTGCTGGGCTTTTTCTACCAAAAAAAGCCCTGGCGCAGAGTAAGAAGGGCTGCCCAGGCAGGTGGCTGGGCTGCTTGTATCTCTGCCCATCATAAACAAACAGGCCGTCAGGCCTCCCGAATGTGGCATTTTGCTTCTGGGCTTGTTTGTTTATTACTTTCGTTTATAGTCTTCCTTACTCTCGGGGGCTTATGGCGAATTTCAAGCAAGATAAAAACTTCTCAGTCAATCAGTAAGTAGATTACAAGATGTGATAACATCTGAATCAGAACAGATTAATGTTTGAATCTTAACAGAACAGATTCCCAGTAAAACAAAATAATGCAGTTGGGCTGTGGTTGTAAAAGAGGGGGAAGAAAGGAGGAGGAGGAGGAGGAGGAGGAGGAGGAGGAGAAGGAGGAGGAGAAGAAGGAAAAAAGAAGAAGAGAAGAAGAAAAGAAGAGAAGACGAAGACGACGAAGAAGACGACGAAGAAGACGACGAAGAAGACGACGATGAAGAAGAAGACGAAGAAGACGAAGAAGACGAAGAAGACGAAGAAGACGACGACGACGACGACGACGACGACGACGACGACGAAGAAGAAGAAGAAGAAGAAGAAGAAGAAGAAGAAGAAGAAGAAGAAGAAGAAGAAGAAGAAGAAGAAGAAGAAGAAGAAGAAGAAGAAGAAGAAGAAGAAACCATTCAAAAGCAACAAGACAATCAGACCAGGGAAGACTTTATCCTTAATGAGATAGATCAAGATGGGTAGCCATGTTAGTCTGTCTGGAGCAGTAGAAAAGAGTCCACCTTAAAAGACTAACAAAATTTGTGGCAGGGGAGGAGCTTACTGCACTCTTGCTCTTTTATTTCTAACAAAAGTCACCTTCTGAGCTGAACCATTACACAACAGCTGAGGTGATGTTCTTTCTGACCACAGATTCCAGTGTATTTTATTTGGATTTGTGCTGTAATGTCAATAAAGGTCTCTGTGCGTGTGTGTGTATTACACAACAGCTTTCCTCCTTTTACAAGAATGCCCTCCTGAACAATTCTGCTTTGCACGTTCTGCAAAACCAAAGAAGTGCGTGGGGGGCCTTCTTCATAGCTTCTGGTAGACCATTTCACAGTGTAAGCGCCACCATGGAGAACCTGCGTGAACAGGCAATTGCTGATTTCACAGTTGCCTTTGTGTGATGTTTCATCTGCTGCGCTATATGACACTTTTTTAAAATAATGGAAGTAATTATGTTGAGGAGGAACGTCTATAGAGCTGTAATCCTGAACCCGTTTACTACGTAAGTCCTATTCAATTCCATGGGACTTATTTTTGAGTATACGTATTGAGGACTGCACAATAAATAGCCCAAAGGTAACATATCACGCTACTTCCAACTTAAGGGGACTTGGATCACAAATTCTGCCCAGTGGTACAAGCTACTCACAGAACATCACAAAGACGTGGTTCTTCTTATTAAAGACGACCCGATCAAAGTTCTTCCCAACAAGGACTTTAACTGGCTTCTGGTCCCAGCCTTCTTGGATTTCCTCACTGGACAGATGTCGCTAATAAGAGGAAGACAGACCAGAAGAGAAAGCCGGTGGATTGCTGCCTCATGCTGTATTTGAGCGGCAGTCTTGCAAAAAAGAAACATTTGGAGCGGTTCGCCTGACCGTTAGCTCCAACAGCCAATTATTCAGCATTGTGCCGTAGAGCAAAGTCCAACTAAAATGCAATGGTCACAAATCAAAACTGGGTCCAATTTGTAGAACAACATGGATAAGAGACATGAAACCGTTTCCCCGTGGCTTCCCTGACCTTTAGCTTTTTTTTCCCTTCTCAGTTGAGTTCTGATACCAGAACTGATCTTGCTTGGGATAAGGCATTTGGGGAAAGAGATTACAGGCAGGTCAGGGCACAGAGAGAGTTCCGCTTCCCTCCCCTGTGCTGCAAAAACGTCCACTCCCACAGACACTTTCTGTGCCACTGGGACGGACCCTGTCAACAAACGGACAACCCGCTGGGCCCTCAAACAGCAGGAAGCCCAAAAGAGGACCGTGCAGCCCACCCGGAGCCCAGGTGCATGGGAAAGGTGCAACCGCTTCCCATATCCAGTCCAATATCCATATCCTGCCATTCAAGTAATGATGCCCCCAAATAGAGCTCTTTTGGGCTCTTTAGCTTGGAGAAACGACGACTGAGGGGTGACATGATTGAGGTTTATAAGATTATGCATGGGAAAGAGCAGGTAGAGAAAGAGGTACTTTTCTCCCTTTCTCACAATACAAGAACTCGTGGGCACTCCATGAAATTGCTGAGCGGTCGGGTTAGAACGGATAACAGGAAGTACTTCTTCACCCAAAGAATGTTTAACACGTGGAATTCACTGCCACAGTAAGTGGTGGCGGCTACAAGCATGGACGGCTTCAAAAGGGAATTAGATAAGCATATGGAGCAGAGGTCCATCAGTGGCTATTAGCCACAAGGTATAGATAGGGACTCTGGGGCAAGTGATGCTCTGTCATCTTGGTGCTTGGGGGGGGGGGGTCAACAGTGGGAGGGCTTCTAATGTCCTGGCCCCACTGGTGGACCTCCTGATGGCACTGGTATTTCTGGCCACTGTGTGATACAGAGAGTTGGACTGGATGGCCTTTGGCCTGATCCAACATTGGCATCTCTTATGTTCTTATGTTCTTAGAGAACAGGAGAATCCTGGATGCAGCACTGTGAAAATTCTCCTGTATTCCATCTGACACTCTGTTATATCACACTGGGGGGAGGAGGAGGAAGAATTGGATTTCTACCCCACCCTTCACTCGGAGTCTCAGAGTGGCTTACAATCACCTTCCCTTCCTCTCCCCACAACAGGCACCCTGTGAGGTAGGTGGGGCTGAGAGAGCTCAGCGAGAACTGTGACTGACGCAAGGTCACCCAGCTGGCTGCATGTGGGGGAATGGGGGAATCAAGCCCAGTTCTCCAGATAAGAGACCACCGCTCTTAACCACTATGCTCATGCTGGCTCTGGTTGAAGTGAAGAAAAGGAAAAAATGTCCGTGAGACAACCCAATTAAGTATGAAAGCAAAGCTCTTCAGGCTAAATATATAAACAGTAAATGGCAAACAGCTCAAGCAGTATAGCGTCCACAGTATAGAATTCCATGCAAGAGGTCCAAAAGGGTCCACAAAAGGAAGACCGGAGTCAGTGGTGAGAATGTAGCCTAGGAGTTGTAAATTTATTCAAATGAAGCCATGTTGATAAAGAGGTTTCCAGATTTCTTATTCTCCTCTTTTCTAAATATTCTTCTTCAGATCAAAGCATTAATAGAACCCCATTCGGGACTCACCGAGTCTGGTCTTCCTTTTGTGGATCCTTTTGGACCTCTTGCATGGACTTCTGTCTTGTGGACTCTTATACTGCTTTAGCTGTTTGCCGTTTACTGTTTATGTATTTAGACAGAAGGGTTTTGCTCTCATACTTAATTGGGTCGTCCCACAGACCTTTTTTCTCCTTTTCTTTAATTCTGGTTGAAGTGGGGCCTTTCCTGGTTGAAGTGGGGCAGCTGCCAGGGCCCAGGGCCCCTGACTCCCACCTACACCCCTCCCCCTGCCCCCTTTCTGCATGCCTTTCCCCATCTGTTTCCTTGGAGTGCTCCACCACCTGTGCTTCCGGCTGCCCAGCATCACTAGGGAAGGGCATTGTGGGAAGTGCACCGTGGCTGCTCTTCTGTTGCCGTGGCAGCCACACTCCTAGCTGCACGCACCGGCCCACGCCGTCAGGGAAATGGTGTGCAGGGAGGCACAGGCAACTGGGCAATGGGTGGCTTGCGAGGGGGAGAAGGATGCACAGGTGGGGGGCAGAAAGGGAGGCATGAGGGGGAGACTGCTGATGGGCAGACAGGAGCCCCTGGGTACCAAAGCCTGGAACCCGCCCTGGGTACATTAGCTACAGATATAGGTTGTCTTAAAGCTAGTGCAGTTCCAGAGAATCGGGTCCCTTCTGAGGAGCATACCTTAGCTGTCCCCTCCAAGTAGCTCTGGCAAAAGCTCCTTAGATTCTTCACAGTCGCCTTCTCTGCGGGCATCTTGTACCTGGCGTCGCTGGTCAGGTTCAAGATCTGAACAGCAGGGACCTCGATCTCGATGACCTGGAAGTATTCAATCACGCGGCCATTTCTGCTCTCATCGGTATCCACCAAGACGAACATGATCTGAAGAATGTGTGAAAGACAGAGAAGAGGCTCTGTATTCCTGCGTCACTGGAGAGGACTGAGCAGGCACAGCTCTGCTACACTGTGGGGGGAAACGGTATACAAAACAGGACACCAGTGAATGACAGCACAAAGGGTGAAGGAGAGGAGAAGCTTTGGCCCCTGTACTCTGCTTGCAGGCCTTCCAGGGGCATCCGACAGGGCACTGGGCGAAACGGGATACAGGACTAGGTGGACCACTGCTCTGCTCCAGCGTGAATGCTCTTGTGCTGTTTTGCAGAGTTTAATCAGTGTGCATGGGAAGAAGAAGAAGAGACTGGATTTATACCCCGCCCTTCACTTGGAGTCTCAGAGTGGCTTACAAACTCCTTTCCCTTCCCCTCCCCACAACAGACACCCTGTGAGGTGGGCGGGGCTGAGAGAACTCTGACACAAACGGCTCTTTTTCAAGGACAGCTGTGCCAGAGCTTGTGACTGACCCAAGGTCACATCAGCAGGTGCAAGTGGAGGAGTGGGGACTCAAACCCGGTTCTCTCAGATTAGAGTCCGCGCACTGGCCATATAGAAAGAGAACCACTGGGGCAATCTGAACATGCTCCCAATTCAGAATCAAAATCTAGAAATTCTCCCGGCAGAACCAGAATTAAGATGCAGGAGAACACAGCGCAAAGAGCCTGTGCAGAAAGAGCCAGCACACTCATCCCTACCCATCTGAATCTGCATATTTGTACCCCACCACATCACCTATAACATTTTTAGAGCAGCTTACATACAGGGCAATCCTAAAATCTACACAAGATCAGAATGGCTAAAAATTCCTAAGAGCCTGAAAAAAAAAAGATTTTAAGGCAATTTTAAAAAATGAAATCAGCAGGACCAGATAAAACCTTTGGGAAAAATTTATCAGAAAGCAAATATCCAGAACTGGAGAGAATTCTGTTGCATTTGTTTTGATAAACGATCGTGTTCTAAGCCAGTAACGGCCATATTCTGACGCTGTACATGCTACGGAGTAGGAAATCCAAACTCACTATGAACGGCACCATACCAACCTTCCCTCGGAATTCCTGGGCAACAGACTTAAAATCTTCATAAGCCTTGCCGAATGCACTTGAACTCTTGGGGATGAATAAGAGGATGTGATTTTCCACAGGAACATCAAAGATCTTCACAGACGTCTGGGGGAGAAAAGTCAAAGAGTGTCCATGGATGGTTTGGAAATGCAAGACTCCATCCAGAAAGATGCCCTGTTTTCTGGAAATTCCTTGCTGGGTTTTCCTTGCAAGGTTAGAAGACCTCCCTCGTCCAGTTAGCTTTTCTTCTGGGTATTATTTTGACAAGCTCTGGAATGGATTTGATTAACCAGGGCCCCGGTCACACGGAGCATTAGGCACGCTAGAGAGACGGAAGATAGGCGGATTTTCCGGGCACCATCTCACCGCCACATCTGGGAAGCGTAGAGCTCCTGTGGCGCACCCAAGGCTTCCCGCCGAAGATGCGGGGTAAAAAACGAGTGCCTCGGAGGTACTAGTTTCCGGAAACCGCAGGGCAAGGGCGGCATCTGATCGCGTTTCCGGTGGTAGTTCCAGCGCCTGCCCATGTCCCCTCGCAAAAAGGGATTTTCCCCCCAAGTCTCCATGGATGCGCACAAGCACCCAACGGAGCATGCGCACATTTCAGTTTTAAAAAACAAACACAACCCCGTTTGCCGCACCACTCCGCTTCTTTGCCACGTCGTGTGATCGGCACCTCCCCCCTAACCACGGGAGCTTGATGGGACCTCAACCCGACGCCTGATCACGCGTTAGTTTACTCCGGGGCAAACAGCCACGCCTCCCCCCCGCATTTTCCTGCCCGTGTGGCCGAGGCCCAGGATGTATTTCATTGGCCTGTTTTAAATTTGACTAAATTTTGAGTGGTTTTAAATGTATAATAATTGTTTTACTAGATTTAATATATGCTGCTTCATGTCATCAGCTGAACTAAATGTAGAGGAAGGCATGGCACTTTCAGGTGTCTGGCACACCCACCTCCCAAAAAATCCTCCCTCCAATCTTTCCAGTCTAAAGGCAGTCTATGCTATCTGCAGCACCATCCTAAGGCGAGAGGCCACCTTTCAAAGTCCACTGAAGTCAATGGGCTTCGGAGGGCGCAATCCTTTTTCAAGTGGCCCCACGAGTCGCTCAGGCATCTGCAAGGGGTCCGTTTCCCTTTTTTTTTGTTTTAATAACTTTTTTTATTTTATCATTCAACATTCCACAAACATTATCAACACAACAGAATACCACAAGACAGTATACAACCTATGAGAATATAACAAGCGTTGCCGAATTTAAGTTACATGCGATGAAAAACTTCATAATATTTTGCAGGCACTCTAAATTCCCTTTTTCAGAATTCCAAAAGTGCCTGCACCCAGGAAAGCTGGGGATCCTCTTCCGCTGGGATGCCTTTGCTTCCAAATTAATGGGGGGTGGGATACATATAAAGACCCATCACACATTAGGCATAGTAACAAAAAATGAACACATGCAATGAAAAGGAAAAGAAGCGTTTGAAATAAAAAGCAAACATTGGAAAGTTTCGCGTGCTCAGCCCTCACCACCGAGAAGACACACAGATATTTGGGATTCGGCTTAGAACGGTGGGTTCCCAGAAGGTTTGAACTCTAGCACCTTGGACAGGAATGAACGAGGGCGCATACCTCCAGATTATATTCTGTGACTAAATCCATGGTAAAAGTTTTAATCAGTCGTGTCAGCTCCGCGTCATTCAGCTTGCCTCCTTCAGCAGCCTCACTGTAAACAGGTTTCCCCTTGAGCACAAGAGACATGAGATTTACCAGCAAAGCAGACCAGGGTTACTCTCAATCAATGTTCCCTCTAAACTGTGGAGTCTTGTGAGCAAAAATCCTAATTTGTGAGCTACTGGCATCAAAGTTATGAGTGAGTGATTTGGCTACTACATAAATTAGTTTGCTCTGGAGCCCTCCTTCCTGAGTTAAGGCAAAAACGTGTGAGCTGGAGGCTAAAGAACAGTGAGCTAGCTCACACTAACTCAGCTTAGAGGGAACATTGCTCTCAATATGGGGAGCTGATTCATTGGACGCAATGGCTCTTTCTAGAAAGTGACACACGAAGCCGGATCACTGATCCCGCCCACCCGCCCACTATTCCCTATCCTCACTAGCGCAGACCCTCTAGAGTGAAATCGGGTCTCTCCGAGCCTTCCTACAGGAGAACCGTGCTTGCCGAGCTTGCCAGGGATTCAAGCCTGCGACCTTCTACATGCAAAGGAAGTGCTTGGGTGGCTTCACCCATGAAAAGAAGATGCCATATTTCCATGGCTCAGACCATGCTGGCCACGCTCTAACCAGGGCTTTTTTTGTAGAAAAAGCCCAGCAGGAACTCATTAGCATAATAGGGCACACCCAGCAGCAGAAACCCATTAGCATATTAGGCCACACCCCTGACAGCACAGCTCATTAGCCCATTAGGCCGCACCCCCATGTTACCAGAAGGGTGGTCATCCAGCCACACCCACCTTTCCTTTCTTATTCTGTTTACCTTGTTAGTGGTCAAAACCCAGGGCCTTTTTTTTGTAGCAGGAACTCCTTTGCATGTTAGGCCACACACCCCTAATGCAGCCAACAGTTTCTGCTGTTGGGTGTGGCCTATTATGCTAATGAGTTCTTGCTGGGCTTGGCCAACTCAGGAGCCAGCCGGAACTCCGTTCCTGTGCGTTCCTGCCCAAAATAGCCCTGCTTCTAACCATACGACAAGGGAGCGTACCCAAAGTGGGCGGCATGGTAGTATGTGGACACGCATGCACCAGAGGGGCAAAGGGGAGGGGAAGGTACATTTCCTCTCCTTCCCGGCATGCACCAGTGTCGTGCCACAATGTTGGACAGAAGAGACCCCAGGGTCCAACCCCCACTCGGCCATGAAGGACCACTGGGTGACCTTGGGGTGGTCAACAACGCTTAGCCTACGGGGTCACTGTGGGGATAAAATGGGAAGGGGAGGACCACACAGAGAAGAACCGTGAGCCCTCTGGAGAACAGGCGAGCCATGGTCAGTACCTTTTGGAAGATAACAATCATGTCCTCTCTGATGCCAAAGTGGGCAAAAACTTCATCGCTGGTCGTCGTCCCAAAAGGGAGTTCTGGGGTGCTCCTTGCAGAATTGCAGAAGACCTCCCCCACCCCTCCTTGAGGGCTCTGTTGGCAAAAGAGGGGTTTTAAGTTGGCGCGACACAAGACCAGGACAGGGAATGGCAGCTCGAGACTTGGGAGGGAAAGGGAGAACCACAAACTCTTCGGGAGAAGGACGGCTTAAAAACAAACTCTGTGACATAAAACCAACCATGTAAAACCCCAAACTGTGTATCTCAGCAACTGGCTTTAATTACAAAACAGAACGGATTTTAATTGGGAGCTGCGTCTGCCTGAAAAGAAGAGTCTGCATGGTTGCAGAAATAAAAACAGACAGACAAGAACAAGTGGAACCTCACAGCTAAGCACGCCTAGGTGGGGCTTCGTACAAAAACTGGCCCATAAAGGCTGAAAACGATGGAAGATACCTATTACCTCAGAAAAAGGCCTGGGTAATTTGGAACTCCCAAATTCCAGGGATAAACGTGGATAAGGAGAATTTCAGAGCAGTCTCAAATGCCATATTCTATTTTATAGCCTCCCCTAACCCTCTAACATTCCTCAGCATTGTAAAGACCTCACACTGTAAAGTTCATGACTCCCCCCCCACCACACCTAGAGTTGCCAGCCTCCAGGTGGGGCCTGGGGATCTCCCACTTTTACAACTCATCTCCAGCTGACAGAGATCAGCTCCCCTGGAGAAAATGGCTGCTCTGAGACTCCATGGCCTTGTACGATGCTGAGGCCCCTCCCCTCTCCCGGATCCACCCCCAAAGTCTCCAGGTATCTTCCAACACAGACTTCGTAACCCTAACCCCACCCCATTATAGTGCAGCAACGTCATTTAATTTCACTTAGTTTAAGGCTTTGTTTAATTTAAGGGTTACCTTGAAAAAGCCAATCACGGTCATCCCCTCAGGGTCAATGAAGGATTTCGCCTGGTCTGTGCTATTAAGATGTGTAGTGCAAGATCCTATTCGTCGTCTTACCCATGTGACGAAGGCAGAGGCCTCTCTGACTCCTGCAGAAAGGGAAGGATCTATTGGTGTGCGTCAGCATGAAAATACACAGATGATACACCAGAGCTAAGAGCAATTTGATTATAAATAGGATGGCTGCCATCTAGCTGTCGAAGAACTGGGGGTGAAATTTGGGGTTCCACAGCAATATATGCTAGTATTCAGATGGGTGTTTCGTTGAAAGCTGGGTCATCTGAAGCTGCCTACCTTGACATTTTGGAGTAGAAAGGGTCTCTTGACATTTTGGAGTAGAAATAGTGCTTGGTTGTTTTATAATGGATTTAACCCACACTGGAATCTACCTGGAAGTCTTTTTAGTGAAAGCTGGGCCCAAATGCATTATTTTCAGTTTGCTAAGATTTATGTTTTCATACGATTCCCTTTTACTCCCAGTCATACCACATCATGGGTTTCATAGTAAGGTAATAGAGAAGCATAAACAGGAGCAGACAAAATCAGACAGAGAAAGGCTGCGGTCACACGGAACATTAGCCACGCAAGAGAGACGGAAGACAGGCGGATTTTCCGGGCGCGATCTCACCGGCACATCTGGGAAGCGTAGCGCTTCCGTGGCACAACCAAGGCTTCCTGCCGAAAACACGCAGCAAAAAACTAATACCTCAGAGGTACTAGTTTCCGGAAACCACGGGGCAAGGCGGGCGTCTGATCGCGTTTCCGGTGGCATCCGGCGCCCGCCCATGTCCCCTTGCGAAAAAAGGTGTTTCTTTCCCCCAAGTCTCCGTGGATGCGCACACACACCCAACGGAGCATGCGCATTCGTCGTGTACACAAAAAAGGAAAACCAGTTTGCCGCACCGCACGCTTCTTCGTTGTGCGCAGGCGTGTCCTGTGATCAGCACCTCTCCCTACCCACGAGACCTCCACGGGAGGTCTGATCGCTTAACCGCGCGTTATCCACAGGTGGTCTGATCGCTTAACCACGTGTTAGTTTGCAAACAGCCACGCTTCCCCCCGCAGTTTCCTGCCCGTGTGACCGGAGCCTAAATACATTTTCAGTAGTAATCAGCTGAACGCTTATGAAAAAATGGGAATTCTTCTTTGGAGTTTTGCAGAAATTATTATTTTAATTTGATTCATAACTTTCTGCCAGCCGTAAAGGTTCAGGAAAGGCAACTAAAAACATGGTTTGCTGGGCCAACCTAACCACTGCTGAGATCTGATTTAAAACTTTATTTTCCTCTACCTCTTCTGATTTTTTTAATTGCCTCACCCTCAAAATTTTAGCTTCTGCTAGGTTTTATTTCCACTAGAGTCATTCAATGTCACTGGTGATTGCAGTTTTTAAAAATAAAAGGGCCAGATATGTTATGGTTTTAAAATATTTGTTAAGGATAACAATGCACTGGATTGAGAAATGAACAAAAGATTTCTAGAAACCCCTATTTTATAGAGAGAGATTGTTGCTAAAAGAAATGCTTGATTCTCACCATGGATGAGGACATTCCAGAATTAATTTCATTTATTTTCTTTGCGAATGATTTTGCATCTCTGCTCTCCAATGCTGGATTTGCCAATTCCCTTGTACTGTGTATGCAAACTGAATGCTTTTCATACAGCATTTATATGTTCAGTGCACATCATTTGTACACTGGACAATGCATATGCTGAACAGGGAAAAAATGGAAGCAAAAAATGGCTCAAAAGTGAAGAATCACAGGTTTAAAATGCACAAGGGAGAAAGCAAATCGAAAGGGGTCTGGAGGCCAAACGAGCATGGGGCAAGAAATCCAAAACCACCCCTTTCTTTGGCCCCATTTCCCAGCCCTCTTTGTCCAAGGTTGTCTCCTGCACCAATATGACACCAGCCCCAGTGGTGTGACCACACCAGTAATGTAGTCATACTGCACGGCAGACAGGTGTTCAACAGCTGCACAAGAGAACCCAGAACACAACAAACATTGTGAATGTGTCTTCAGGAGATCCTTCCTACATAGCTCTTCAGCATCACTTTGCTCAGATCATCAGAGGCGAGCCGGACAACTGAGCAACTAATTCTCAGCTCTGCCTCTGAAAATTCCCCAGGTAGTTTCCTGCGTGGCCAATTAGCTCCTAATCGGCAGCTTTCCCCCCACGTGTTCCTTCCAGGCCTGGGCGCTTCTCCTGTCAAGCCTGCAAAAGAGCACGTACTGCCAAGATTTACTTGGCTAATCTGGAGACGCCCTCCGTTCCTTCTGCGGAAATATCGACTAGCAGTTTAATCCAAACGGATTTCAGGCCATTCCACAGCTTATTGAACAGTCTACTTCATTAAATTAAGTGTCAGATGCTGTGCACAAGGGTAATAGAGAGGTGCAGACATGTATTATGCGGCCGGCCTCCTCAGCACCGCCACTGATTTTTTCCCCCCAACTTGGAAATGGAGAACAGTCAACTCCCGAGCTATTAAAAATAATTCAGTTTATGTAGGTAATCCTTTTCAAATACAAAAAGACTGATACACCCCACCCTGCCTACTTTTCACACCTTGGTGAAGTTTATTTATACAAGATGAGTTCGTTTTGACGTACTGTTTCAACATAAAGTCCACTCATAACCAACACTCTGAACAAGGTTGTTTATTTTACATTCCAGTTCCTGCCCATCTTTTTGATGTGCCTGTTCCCACACCAGTAAAATGAGAGATGAGCAAACTTTTCCCTTGTCTTGAGTTGGTCTGGGAGGTGGGTGGGATTTCTAAAGTAGAACAGGAGTTGGAGCACGTGCAGTCGGCCAGACTTTCCAGTTCATTCATGTCTTTCTCTCCCTCCACACATGCATACATTACTGTCATACATACACACACACAGATAAAAGCAGGCAAAAAAGTAATCTTGATATGACTGGGGGCGATTTCTCACTAGAGCTGCCTCGCAGCGCAGCCGCTGTCTGCCTCGACACAAACTTGTCAATTTCACATCTGAAGCTGCGGGGCTGCATTTTGACTCGCAGCTTCGCCCGATTTCCTCCGCAGTTTCGTGATCCTGGTTTTTGAGGATCACGAAACTGCGGAGGAAATCGGGCGACGCCGCGGGTCAAATGCAGCCCCGCAGCCTCAGGTGTGAAATTTACATGTTTGTGTCGAGGCAAACGGCGGCTGCGCTGCGAGGCAGCTCTAGTGAGAAATCGCCCTATACGTATGAATGCATCAAGGTGTCCTTTATCATGTATTTGTGAATTTCCTGCCTAGTGCAGGGGGTTGGACTAGATGATCCTGGAGGTCCCTTCCAGCTCTATGATTCTATGTTCTACCACTGTGCATGTGCATATCTAATATCAGTACCATCTGTGATTACAAATGCATTCTTCTTTCACCAGTGCACATATGCACACCAGCAATGCAGAAGAAGAAGAAGAACGGGTTTTTATACCCCGCTTTTTTCTACCCTAAGGAGTCTCAAAGTATCTCACAATCACCTTCCCTTCCTCTCCCCACAACAGACACCCTGTGAGGTAGGTGGGACTCAGAGAGCTCTGAGAGAACTGTGATTGTCCCAAGGTCACCCAACTGGTTGCTTGTGGAGGAGGAGTGGGAAATCAAACCCCGTTGTCCAGATTAGAGTCCACTGCTCTTAACCACTACACCACACTGGCTCTCAACAAGATTCCCCCCTCTCCCAAAAAGGAAAAAAAGAGGGGAATTTTAAAACACAACAAACAACTTAACTGGGCCTAAACCCCCAAAGCATCAGGCAGGGTGGGAGCAACTAACAGGGACTACTTGGAATACCTTGCATGTTCAGGCAAAATACACATTACTTGAGAGAGCGGGTATAAAAAAAATTCCTGAAATGTTGAGTGGAGAAGCAATGGAGGAGAGGTAACTTTTAACCATGCTGTTCATTTCCTAACCTTCTGGTGGTGGTGACAGAAAGTCCTGTCAAGTCACAGCTGACGTATGGGCAGAGGTGTTGAACACGTTTGACACGAGGGCTGGTATAGTATAAAAGTTACTATGTCGGGCTGGGCCATGTCTGCCATAAAATGAAATGCCAGGTACCAGAGATATAAACTTTATAAAGGACACAGGCAAACCCAATTAACAATATTATTTTAAACTCAAAGGTAAAGGTAAAGGTTTCCCTTGCTCGAAAGCCAGTCGAATCCGACTCTAGGGTTGCGGTCCTCGTCTCCGTTTCAAAGCTGAAGAGCCAGCGCTGTCCAAAGACGTTTCCGTGGTCATGTGGCCGGCATGACTAAACACCGAGACGCACGGAACGCTGTTACCTTCCCACCGAAGTGGTCCCTATTTATCTACTTGCAATTTCTTGCTTTTGAACTGCTAGGTTGGCAGGAGCTGGAACTAGAGACGGGAGCTCACTCCGTCATGCAGCACACTCAGGTCTCGAAGTGCTGAACTACCGACCTTCCACAGCCTAAAGCAATCAATTCCTAGGAGTGAAAGGAATTTATTTACTGGGGAATCCACAAAAGCCCCAATAAATGTATTTAATTTTATGCAAAGCTAGTTTTTTCCCCAAAGGATCACCATACCTACTCTTTAGCTACCGTATTTTTCGGACCATAAGACGCACCTGACCATAAGATGCACCTAGTTTTTAGAGGAGGAAAACAGGGAAAAAAATATTCTGAACCCTGGGGCTCAGTATTCAGTCCATAAGACGCACACACTTTTACCCTCACTTTTTTTGGAAGAAAAAGTGCGTCTTATGGTCCAAAAAATACGGTATTTCCTTTCATTTTTTGACAGCTTTGACCAAATACATCTCACTGTGTACGGGCCGCCCCTTGTGCCCCCCCCCCCCCCCCCCCCCGAGCAGCCTCCTGCCTTCCCTCTCTTGCTCCAGTTGCTCGCAGGCCGGACAAGAGCCCTGGCTGAGCCAGTTCCAGCCCCCCGGGCCACATGCTTGACATCCCTGCCATAGAGTTTTTGAGGCAAGAGATGTTCAGGGATGGTTTGCCACTGCCTGCCTCCATGTCACAGCCTTGGAGGTCTCCCGTCCTGTGCTCCCTCTAAGCTGTGGAGTCTAGTGAGCAAAAATCCTGCTTTGTGAGCTACTGGCATACAAGATTTGGCTGCTGCATAAGTTAGGTTGCTCTGGAGCCCTCCTTCCTGAGCTAAGACAAAAATGTGTGAGCCGGAGGTAGGGGTCCCAAATCCCCCCGGGGGGCGGAATTCCCCCTGGTTTCGAGCCCCGATTCCTGCTCCCGCGGAATCGGGGGGGGCGACACCATTTGAGGGGAAAACTCTTTGTTTTCCCCTCAAATGGCGTCGCCCCGCCCCCAGCGTGTGACGTCACTTCCGGGTGATGCATGCGGGGCGCGCGCGCACACGAGGAGGATGCCGTCTGGGAGCCCCCCGCTCCCAGACGAATTTCATTTGGCAACCCTAGCCGGAGGCTAAAAAATTGTGAGCTAGCTCACAGTAACTCAGCTTAGAGGGAACATCGCTCCCATCCAAGTACTCCCCAGGGCTGACCCTGTTTGGCTTCCGAGATCTGACAAGATCGGGCTCGCCTGGGCTACCCAGGTCAGGGCTCGTAACCTCCTAAGGGGACTTAAACCAGACGGATGTCTACTGAGTTGATGCTGGAGCAGGAGGGAATCCTCCGGACAGGAAGCAGCCCACGAGCCAGGGTGCTCCTCACACCCCCAGAACACTCTTGCCCTTGTTCTATATTCTTGCAGCTGCTTCAAAGGTTTGAAACGATCCCTGGACGTGACTCTGAGCCAGCCCCGGTTGCCCTCTAGTGAGGAAACGGGGCACCTGCAAGGTCACGAAACCGGGCTGCTGACCTTTGCAGTCAATGGGATTGCTCCGATCGCCATCGACAAAAAACTTCAGCGTCGGAAAGTCCTGGATGTTGAATTCCTTTTTAAAACCCTTCTGGTCCGTCACATCTACTTTGCCAAGCCGGACGGCCACGGCGGCACTTTTGAGTTCTTCCGCAGCTTTGGCAAACTCCGCAGCCAAGGTCTGAGAGGGCCCAGATAAAGAGATGTCTGCAAAGACCCAAGAAAAAGAAAGGGGGGTAAGTGGATGTCCCTCATAGCATTCTGTTATTGTTCCAGAGTTCTGCTCTGCACTCCTCTCCATTCAGCTTTAATTCTGTTTCAAGTACTGAGGAGAACATCTGAAACTGGAAACTGGGAGCCCACGTAGCGTATGGCAGCTTCCAACTTCATCGTTTCATGCAATCATCATTTTATTCTATGCTGTCTATGTGCACGGATAAAACACTGCCCCGAAAAAGCACCTGTGCCATGATTGTAAATATGATTTCCATCTAGGTTCTTTTCTGTGTGCCATTTTACTGATGGACAATGGTAGGACACCACACAAAGACTCCTGATCAAACCAGATCTATTACCATATCAAGAATGTTCTTTTCCAGGGGTTTATCAATGTGCGCTTAGAAGCGAGGGCATTTATTTACTTATGTGACTTGTCAGGCAGCTTACAAATATATATATTTTTAAAGATTAAGCACAAGACTGAAACGACACAATACAACTCTCCCCAAAAATCTGAACAACAGGAATTAGCAGTGTGATCAGTCATCAGTTCAGCAGATACCAGTAAGAGCTCCAATTAAAAAAAAAAAAAATCTGTGAAACCAGCAGTAAAGTCTGCCATGAAAATCAACAGCAGAAAAACATCTATGGCCCCTGCCACACGGCAGGGAAAACACTGGGCAAAGTGCGGCTTTTAAAAGCCGCACCAAAAAAGAGACGCCGCGGCGGGATCCCATGGTCCCCTGAGCCGCGGCACTGTTGCTCCCCGGCACGATCAGATGCTGGGAAGGAAGAGACGAATGGGAGGGGGAGGCTGTCTAACTGCGCATGTTCGAGCATGCGCAGTACGGCCGGGGGCCGGGGATGCACCGGCGAACAGACGCGCCGGCGATCCTACGGCCAGCGGAGATGCGGCCTTTCGTAAAGAACCACCTAGGTAGGTGGTTCTTTTTTGCCGCGGGTTTTGTCTGGTAGGGGCGGATTTGGGATGGGCTGGGAACGGGCACAGCACGATTCCCAGATGTTGCTGTGGGATCGCGCCCGTTTGCTGCGGCCCCGATCCGTCCCTCTCCCTGCCCAAAACAGCTCGTATGAACACGGCCTATGTCATGTTTATTACATTTTTCCATGGAAGAGTTTCCCCTTCCCCCATTTTATGCTCACAATAACCCTATGAGGTGGGTTAGCAAACTAGCCAAAGGTCACCCAGTGGGCTTCATGACTGAGTAGGGGATTTGAACACAGGCCTCCCAGGCCACAGCCTAACATGCTAACTGCTGCACCACGCCACTGCTGTCAGGTAACAAGTTCATCAAATGCTCTCCGGAACAGGATGGTGTTTGAAAATCTCCAGAAGTTGGAGAGGGATTCCAAAATATGAGGGCCACAGCACCAAAAGCCGTGTTCGGCGTGCCTACCCATCTGCTAACAAGAGCATACGAGTTTCTGTAGCTGATTTCAGACTACGAGCAAGCACTGCTCAACTGCCTTGTTCTTAGAGAAGAAGAAGAGATTGGATTTATACCCCACCCTTCACTTCCCAAAGGAGTCCCAGAGGGGCTTACAAACTCCTTTCCCTTCCCCTCCCCACAACAGACACCCTGTGAGGTAGGTGGGGCTGAGAGAGCTCTGGCAGAAACTGTTCTTTTTGAAGAACAGCTGTGCCCAAGGTCATCCAGCAGGTGCTAGTGGAGGACAGGGGAATCAAACCCGGTTCTCCCAGATTAGAGTCTGGCTTCTTAAACCAAACTGGCTTCTTAAAGCAGGGCAGGGCTTTAAAAGTCCAGAACTTTAAATTGGGCCTGGAAACAAATTGTGAACTAGTGGAGAAGAGCAGTATGCTTTGGATTCTTGTGGCCGTTTGGAAGGAGCTAATGCAGTCCTAGGGTCATTCCATGTCACTCTTTTAACTGTGTTTTCCCACCTTGCTGCAGGGAAGAGATGGATGAAGAGCCTGCCTGAACTGGCAGCCGTGTGAAAACAGCTAGCATTCCAAATCCTGCTCTGTGGAAGGTTTCTTGTGTGGCTAACTGCCCTAAATCCAGAGTTTTATTAGATCAAGGCCTTTTAATGTTGCAGTAATCTGCAAAGAACTCTTACAAGGGTCACGCTAGCTTGGCTTTGCTCAGTGTTATCGTTGGAAAGTTCTCAGGTTGATTAGCTTTCATTACTATTTAATCTAGAGATAAGAATAAGAGAAACTAGGATTGGCTTGGCTCCCTGGACTAAAAGAGATCGGTTTTAACAATACATTCTCCTTGAAAAAGAAGGGGAAAATCCCAGATTCCTGCCTGTGTTGTGGGCCGAAGCCCAAACCTTCCTTGAACCTGCTCAGACAACGGGCTGAGGATTTTTGATGTGGTTCTGTTACTGAAACAAATCGGATCATGGCCTGGTTTGTCCTGAATGTAAACAGCCTTTCTGCCAGGATTGAGTCCTGATAGTTTAGCGGCCTTCCCAGTGGGGGAAAAACGAGTAGCAGGCAGACCACACATTGGTCAGCATCTTACCACTTCCGTACAGCTAAGCATGTGCTTTCCCCTAAAGCCTGTGGGGCCTCCCTCCAACGGAAGTGGCTCATCGCCCAGCAGCAGAGCCACGGGGGAGAAAGGTTGGAGAAAGGCCTCACGCTTGGCAGAGCTGAGCGGCAGGTCAGGATCCACTATATAGCTTAACACCCCAAAGTTGAACCTACAGGAACTGTTCATTAAGATGGACCAGTTAAAAGCTATACAGCATCTCAGCACAGCGAACAGGGATGCAAAGTGACCCCATATATTCGGTGAGGGGCCGTCTGTCGTGAGTCAGCGACACTCTCACTTATTCACACAGAATGCCCCCACTTCCATCCTTGGCATCTCCGAATTAAAGACTCTCATTGGTGCTGGGAAAGCCTTTCTTTGCCCGGGGCCTGGAGGAGCGGCTGCCAGACAGAGCTCGAGGGACCGATCATCCAGACTGGCGTAGCGTCACTGTAGAAATGCAGGACTTTCTATAGCTCTTCTTGAAGACGTCGGCCTGTTGCGTAACGGTACAAAGCCCAGTCCTGGCCTGTCACTTCCAGTACACTTTTGATAAATCGGTGGGAGGTTTTAATCTTTTCGTCTTCACTTGCTGATCAGTCAAGAACCTTGGAACATTTATTCTCATAATTATCACGAGCCTTCGATTAATCTTCATATCAGCACCGCTTTATAAGTGGCCTCCTTTTCATTTTAATTCTTTCATCGAAAGTAGAGAGAAGGACTCAAAAGACAAGGATTTTGATCCCTGCAGAGCATTTGCACTGTGTGAGGAACCGATCCCATCATGCTTATGAAACTTATGTTTTTGGGGGGGTTGGGAGAGTCAGTATTCCTGGATTTTGTCCTTTGTCCACAAGAGCAGTCAGTCTTTCTCCAATAACAGGGTTGTAGTTCTTTGCACAGTTTTTATTGTACTACGTTGTTTGTACTGCACTGATTTCTAATTTTGCAATCCAACTGCTGCACCACCACCCCCAGTTTCTGTAATCTAGTTGTCCCGTTGTTTATGGCATGTCTTATGCTGTTTTTCTTAATGGCATTTTTTAATTTAAGTTTTGTAATCCGCCTTGAGTCTCAGCAAGAAAGGCAGACTATAAATAAAGGAAATAAAATAATGATCCAACAGCTTGAAAAGCCACCACCTGCAATTAACTGGATGTTTTTAAACAGACTTGAATTATGTTTGCCTATTTTATTTCTCCAGACATTCTCCAAGGTGCTGCATTACAAAACAACAGATCTTCTTTGGGGAGATCCTGGCACTGAGAGACTAAGAACAACTGGTTCGTCACTGTGTCAAGCAGGATACTGGACTAGATGGACGTCTAGTCTGATCTAGAAGGGCTTTTCTCATGTTCTTAGGAGGCTTTGTTTTGTTGGCACTGCTAACAATAAAAAGAGAACCCTTTGCTGGAGCTGAAATTTTGGGGTGCCAGGAGAGGACACCACAAGATCCAGTGTCCGCAGCCACCTCATTGCCCAGTTCTCCCCTTTTCCAGCAGGTGACTCCTGGCAACGGAGGCCTAAGAGGGAGGGTGGAGAAGGTCTCCTGTTCCGGGTCATTGATCCATGTCTGAAGTTAGACTTTGCCCTGTGCCCAGTGAGTCTTTCACACTGCTGGCCTGCCTGTTTCAAGAGATACCAGTGAGTGAGCTCTGGGTTAAAAAGCAGGTGTTGAAAATTTACAAGGGTCTGCAGAATACAACCAAGATTCTTTTGGAAACGACGGGAAGAGAAACGGTTAACCAAGCCTTTCTCCGCTCCTGAGCTTCCAGAAATCCAGAAGACTGGTAAGTACAATACAATGAGGTGGCGGATTCTTTGCCACTGGAGGTTTTAAAGTGTCGATGGGATACCTATTTGTCGGGGATATTGTAGTTGTTGTTCCCACGTTGGCAGGGGGTTGGACTGGATGACCTTGGTGGTCCTTTCCAACTATGAGATTAAATAAATACATTTTGTAATTTCGTTGTGATGACAATAAAGGTAGCTGATGATGAAATAAATCCACGAGTAAGGCATGTGAGCAAGGAGAGCGGAAAGGAGACCAGTTATGTGGAGGGGGATCACCGCTGGTAGATCTGCTATAATGTTTCTGGAGATTTTGCTGTGGATCCAGAATGGCTGGCTTGTGTGCTGGCTTTTGGATTTTTGTCAATCGGTAGAGCATTTGTTTAAAACTTCATGACCTCAAGAAACCCTTTCCCCCGCACTAATTAGACTTCAAAGAAACATGCACTGAGGACCTCTATGTGTTGGGATTCTAGGATAGTTTTTTGGGATGCACTCTCTCTTGTTGCAGGCCACTGGACTGACAGTTAGGGACCATCAGTAATCTTCCTCCCCCAAATTCCTCTCCTCCCCTTCAGATTTCCCAGTTTTGAATTTGAGTTTTGAATTTCTGGGTCAGATTTCCAAAGTGCAACCGAGACATTAAGAATCTTCCGTCGTTCCATCTTCATTACCAGTGTGGCACAACTTTCAGTTAATTTATATTCCTCTGCATGACCAGCGCACACATGTGTGGCAATAAGACATTACAAAATACAATTTTGAATGGTTCTAAGTGTTTTTAAGGTAGGATGTTGCCAGTGTACAGGAGCATAAAGAGCCTTCCGCACTAAAAGGATCTTGATGTAATCCTACAAGTTTTTCAAGATTACTTTTTGCAGTGTTTAACCTATGCACACATGTGCTTCAGCAGTGTATGGGAGGGAAAGACAAATGATTTACAGGGACAATGATGCCACACCAACAGTCTATCTGGGAACCACAGTTAAAACGTTGTGGCAAAATTTCCTCTGCTTTGGGCTACATCACTCTATTGGGAGTTCTGGGCCTAGAAAGCCCTCCCATTCATTCCACAGAGGGGTTTTTTGTTGGAAAAAGGGCAGGGGATGGGAGAGAAGGCAATTGATCTCAGGCCTCCCCATCAAGTTGATGGCTCTCTCAAGCACTGAAGGTTTGGTTGTGCACATGCTTATAGCCAGCAGAGTACAAGCAAAGAGTCACCTCACAAGTTGGCAGAAATGTGATATCTAGGAGGGGACAGAAGGAGAAGGACTGACTTAAGGGGGTTGGCATGGAAAGGAGATAGATTATGTGGACACAAGAGGAACTGGGGTCTGTTTTTGGAAGTCCGTTTTTGCTGATTCCATCCAGGGATAGTTTGCAGGAAAGAGTTCTCACACCTGAGCTCCATCTGGATGGCTGCCATTACCACACGGAGGCAGCTTGGACAAAACTCCAAGTAATGAATGACTGACAGGATGCTGTAATTTTAAAAGTAAGGAGCCCACCCTAGAATAATAACAGCTAGGGTGTGTCCAAAGGAGGGACAAAGGACTGCATGTATGCACCTTCACTTTTTTTCTTGCTCGATCCATTGCTGTGTGGAGTATGTGTTCAGTCATTTTCTTTTAAACAAATTTATTTGAATGTTAGTTCCCCATAACCATGTTAAGCCCCACTTGAGTATGTTACTTCTATACAAGGTATAGATAGGGACTCCGGGGCAAGTATTGCTCTATATTCTTGGTGCTTGGGGGGGGGCAACAATGGGAGGGCTCCTAGTGTCCTGGCCCTGCTGGTGGACCTCCTGATGGCACCTGGTATTTTTGGCCACTGTGTGCCAAAGTGTTGGACTGGATGGGCCATTGGCCTGATCCAACATTGGCTTCTCTTATATTCTCATGTACTTAAAAGCACCAGGGAAGTGCGGTAAGCCACCCCTGCAGTAGCTAATTGGAGCAAGTGGGAGATGCAGGCTCTAGGTAGTGGTGGCAACACAGAATGCTAGGGAGATAAATGGGAGATAAATGACCAGTTGGTGGCAGCGCAGATACCTAGAAGGAAGTAAAGACCTCCTCCAGGAGTGGAGTGGGCTCAGGAGAGCAGTGTGCCTCCAGGCAGAGGCCTGAGACAGCCAGGGTCGACTTACCCATTAGGCACAGTCCCTATAGGGCCCACGATCCTTTTAGGGGCCCATGAAAATGTTTCAATTTTTATTTTATTTTATTTATTTATTTTATTTATCCTTCGACTTGATATACCGCCCTAACCCCCGTAGGGGTCTCTGGGCGGTTTACAGTTCTTGGGTGCTAGTCACCTATATCGACCCTAACTACGGCCACACATTGGTACAAGGGGGGGGGTTTCCCTACCGACACCCTGGTGAAAGCATTCCTCGGCTCGGCTCCTTCTGGCTGCACGATGTCTGGTGCTCAAGCAGACGGGGGGGGGGTTGTAGGGAACGCTTTTAAAATCAGATGGGGGAACATTAACATTTGGAGTTGAAGAAAATGTTTTAATTTTGCTCTCATTAGATCTGGTGAACACTCTTTAAAAACCACAAACCACCTCCAGCGGCAGCTTCCATTGGCTCTGGCTTCCCCAGTATGCCACTTGTGTCAATGTTCCCTCTAAGCTGTGGAGTCTTGTGAGCAAAAATTCTACCTTGTGAGCTACTGGCATTAAAGTTGTGAGCAAGCAATTTGGCTACACAAACAAAACTGTGAGCTAGCTCACACTAACTCAGCTTAGAGGGAACACTGACTTGTGTCTAATTGTAGGAATCCTGGGTTGTTTTTATGAAATGTGTGATCACAGTTCTTCATATTCAAGGCCAATCTACCACTTCCCTACTCCTTGTCATCTGCTTTCGTGTCCTGCTGGCTAGACTAGAGTACATATTTTCAATCCCATAA